AAAGGGTTCATTTGACATACTCCCTTGACACCTCACTAAACTAGAGAAAAACTCAACCCTTATTGTTGCGTTTCTATGTAATTTTTGCCTAACTGCATGCAACATTTTCGCCAACTGGATTTAGCCTTTTTAGACCTTCATTATTCATTTTCGTTGATTTTAATGTTTTTTAATAAACAAATGTTTGTATGTTTTGTTTTTTATTTATATTTTTTAATGTTTTATTTTTATATAAAAAAGATAATTTATTTAAAGAATTTTTTGATATATTTAATGTACTGAAATCGACTATTGTAATCATTTGTAGTCATGTACTTTCTCTTTACCCAAAAGTTATGGTCTATCCCATTATATACACATTACACGAATACCGCGGTTATATAAAAAATAACTTCAACCGCACCAATAACAAAATTCATAATTTAAATCTTTATATTATAAATCAACTTGTAACCAACATATATTAGAAAAACACAATCATCAGCATCACTCTATTAGTAAACTCACATAATTTATATATGACTATACATAACTATATGTTACTATAGATGACTATATATTACTATAATAATATAGTCATATGTAGTAACGTGTAGTATGTAGTTGACTAAAACTTGAAATACATATGTCAAATTTGTCTACAGTTGCAACCAGATTTTCGGCACCTTCAAGGAGAAGATCAATGGCCTCCATTAAACTGCAATTGTAAAAACGAATTAAAAAAATCGTCTAATTATGGTATTGTTCAATTAAATATTAGTGCGAGTTAGGAAAAATTGACTAAGCTTCAAAATACTCCAAAATTAACAAAATTTAAGAGAGAGATAGCGATAGAGAGGACATAACTTTCCACCAAACTGCCATGGACTCCTCACCGCAAGCGCCTCCTACTAAAACCCTAGCCATCAACCACCTAATGCTCAACGCGCTCAAGGGAATAACATCACATAAAATATGACAATTAAAACTTAACGAAATTACTATGAAAATATTTATCTCGACGAGAAGAATCCAATGGTGGGTAGCTCGTTGAATTCTAATTGTCGGAAATGAAATTACCCATCCGAGAAGATCAAACCCCCTTGTGTAGTAGAAAACATGCACCAAATTCCCATATGTACAAAAACTTACATAATCTCCCTTCTATAGTTAACATTCTTAACTATAAAAAACATATCAGAGTTTTAAGCAATGAAAACAAAATAGGGAGGTTTGTTGCAGATTTTTCTTCAACATATAGGGGTTTTATGGTGTTTACCCATCATATTATATACAACAAGCTGCACACATCCAATGAGGATATATCCAAGAAATTACTTTAGCCAAACTCACAATACCTACAAGAAATAAAAATATAAAGATCATTTTTTATAAAGATTGTTGTTTTATCTCTCTACAACAATCGATAAAATGGGAGTTGGAAATGTTGTGGTTCGCTTTCTCCTTCTTAGATAAATCCCCAAATTTCCATTTTTTTCGCTATAATTCCATCCCCACACCCTTATCCCTCAAATATATTAGCATGGGCTCAGTGGCGAGACCGAAAATTGTTTTCATGGTGGGCTTAAAATTTTGGGGGATCCATGGGCAGCGCCTTCGAATTTGTATGAAATATTATTTGCATATCGTAAGAGTTGATGGATCAAGATAGATTGGGCTGAATCATTTTTTCCAATAGCACGTAAGTGAATTATTTCATTGATTGGACCAATGGACCAAGATAGATTGTGTTGAAGGAAATTGAAGAAGTCATGTTATCGTAAGGGCCGATGAAAGCCAAGTTGGCAAACTAGGGTACTGAGGGTTAAATTTCCAGTCGGGTTGGAGAAAGTACAACGTGTGTCTAGATCATGACAACTAAATCATGGTCGGATGTTCTTTTTATCCGAGGTCTTGTTCATGCGGCGATGAAATTTGAAGACTAATGAAGAATCCCAACCCACCTGATTCATTTTAGAGCTTTTTATGCCCTTCACCTCCAAAAGCAAGTGAAGTCATTGCCAATGTTAAAGCTCCTTCTAGTTCTAGCAAAACGAGATAAAACCCTTAAGATCAATTCGATTTATATTGTTATTTTTTAGTTAGACTGAAGAATATAGGAGGGCATGTAGAATAATCTGATTTTGTGGATATTGATCAAGTGGGTATAATTGATATGTGGGATTTTGCAAAGGCTTTAGGGTACAATAAGAAGGTCAGTTTAAAATTTTGGCTAAAAGATAAGAATTGTTTAGGTCAATTTAAACTGATATTGATATTATCAGTACAAGAAACTGTATTCCTATAAAAATGAAATTAAGATGTTCATTGAGCATCTTAGTAACTCATAGAGGATAGTGAAGGCAGGTTAGTTAGTGAATATGTCATCATTGATGAAATTGGAGTAGATGAAATAGAAGCAGATTAAATTGTGATATATTTAAGTGATGAGGGTGTTGAGACTGATGAGAGTGAAGCTGCTGACATCTTCTATGAGTCGGAATATGATATGGTGGATGGTAGTGTTCGTTTTGCACGACTTTTACTTATCGAATCTTCGTGCTTTGGTCTTCATTCGTCCGAGTTTTTGACTTTATTTGTATATATTATGTTTTTTTTTTCCATTCTAGGTAAATATAAGCTATTTTTTTCTCGATTCGAAACAATTTTGGAAGCGAAGCCGACAATCAAACAAAACAAGTGAAAAGTTGCATTCTAGCGGACTATGACAGTGTTCGGTATTTGATGCATAACTCTCTCATATGACCTCCGATTGAGCTGATTCTAGGTGACTTTATAAAGCCAACTACGAGGGCTGCAACTTTTGTGAAATGCATATTTGTCGAATTCGGGATACAAATGTGTCAAAAAAGTGTCTGAAGTTGATGCAGAGGCCAGATCGCGATCCACTCCATCCGTATCGCGATCTGGGGTCACTTATAGAAGGTTTTTTTATCAAGACCCAGACCACGATCCCACATTCCCGTATCGCGATCTGGGGGGTCTCACATAAAGTTTTTTTTATCAAGACCCAAATCCTGATCTATCATTCCCGTATCGCGATCTGGCATGGCGGTGCACAATTTTCGAGGCAAGATATTTTTATTTTGCAAAACAACTATTAATAGAAGGAGGCTTTCTTCTTCACTTCTTGACTTCTTGTTCAGTTTTTCTTCGACTTTTCTTTGGTTTTCGCCCCAGTTCTTCGCGGGAAGTTTCGACGAGGGTTTTTTATAAGCGTTTTCTTTACGTTTAGTTTATGATTTATCATGTTCTTAATTTTGATGCTATGCTTGTAATGAACTGAGCATTTTCTTTTAAGGAAATAAAACGTTGTATATATTGATTTTGATTTCCAGATTTGTGATCTATTTGTCGTTCTTTGTTTCTGTTTATGTTTTCCTGTATTAAATGCTTTCGATTGTTTATCTAACAGTTGAATTGATTGTAAATGAGAATGAACTCGAGAGGGTATTCCTCGTTTGATTTCAGGAAAACTTAGCTCGGGTTGTGGAAAAGGAGACGCGATGCACCTCAGGTTAGCCCTTAAGGACTTGACCTAAATGCTCTCTAAATATCATGTTCTGAACGGAGACGTCGGGCCTGTGGGTAGACTCTAACTACACTGGAGATGAGGGTTAGGTTATTTTAGTATTTGGGTTAAGGAATATAGAATTGACATTATATTCGGATTTGTAGACCTTTATGTATAGTACATTTGTGGTTTTTACCCTAAATGCCATTACACGTCGGAATTCATCGTTTGTCCTGGCGAATCGTTGTTTTTATTTTTGTTTCCTTTTAGCTTCATTTCATCCCCATCCTTTCGATTGTCTAGATAAAGTTTAGGATGGTCTAATTGCGATACTTTGTAAATTTAGGAACTTAATTCTTTGTGGATCGATATCTGGAATTCACTATCCTACAAAATGTGATATTGTACACTTGCGGTTATTCATACGTAGGTTTTACATGTATCAAGTTTTTGGTTTGAAGCTTAAGTACTCCTGAAGTTGCGTTTGGTCGTTCAGATAAGGACAAGGGTAAGATAGTTGAGGGTAGTGAATTTATAAGTGATGGAGATCTTGTAGCTAGTGATAATAATTTTGTCAGTGATGAAGAAAGTGGTGGAGTGAAGTACCGTAAGTTCAGCCCTAGGATTGAGAAAAAGAACCAAAAACTTAAATTAAGTTTGATTTTCAATATCAGGAATGAGTCTAAGTTTGTTACTGAGAGTCGTTGCTTTAGGAGAGGTATGATGATAAGATTTCAGAAAGTTGACAAAATTAGGTTGAGTGCAGTTTAAAAAAACGATGGATGTGTGGTTTTGTTATGTGGGCAAAATGTAGGGTTATAGTGCTTGGCAAATTAAAATTTATATCCAACTCATAATAAACTGTCTTAAAATTATAGCAACACAATCATTCAATCATGTTGTATTGGGAAGACTTTTATGAAAAAAATTGAAAGAAAATTCAAAATTGGGTACAACTGAATTTAGAAATGAAGCATGTACCATCTTAAAAGCTCATGTGTCTAGACTACATGTCTATAGGGCAAAACAAAAGGCATTAAAACTGATTCATGGGACTATAGAGAAACAATTTAGCAAGATAATGGATTATTGTCAAGAATTATATATAAGTAACTCATGTTCTATTGTAAGAATGTAATTGAATGATAAAAATAGGTGTTTAAAAGATTTTATATGTGTTTTAATGCATGTAAATTGAGTTTAAGAATGGGTACATGCCAATGGTTGGGGTCGATGGTTGTTTTTTTAAGGGTAATTATGGAGTCAGCTACTTAGTGCAGTTGGATTAGATTCAAATAACAATATCTATCCAATTTTATATGCGATTATTGAGAGTCAGACAAATGAGAGTTGACTTTGATTTTTGAATAGGTTGAACATTTATTTACACTTTAGTGAAATGAGCATAGGAGTTAAAAGGGCAAACACATGCAGAACATCTGGAGGCACAAACCACAACTCTAAAACATGCACAAAAAAAACAAACCACAACTCAAAAACATGCACAAAAAAAAAAAAAATTTACAGGTTGATGAAGGCCATGTGGAGGTTGGGATGGGAGCTGAGCAAGGAAACCAAATGCCTGAAGTTCAAGCTTCAACTGAAGCTTCAGTTTCAACACCACAAGTTCCAAGGACTGCAACAACCAAAGTGCGAGTTTCTAGACCACCACAAGTGTCAATTTATGCTGCAAAAAATAAAATAAAAATTACAGGTTCTCTTTTAATTTAGGCATTATTTTAAAATTTCAGTAATTTAATATGAATATTAAATTTTATCTTTAAAAAATATTTGCTTACAATTGCAGGTTAGAAGAACTCACGAGAAAATGAAAATAACAGTCTGAAGAAACACAATTGAATCCTTTAATGTATTCAAATAAGTTTTTTCAAGTTTACGTCATGCTTGTTTTTTAAAATTGAATAAGTAATTGATACAATATATTATTATTTAATATATCGTTAATTATTAGTTAGTCATTATTTAATTATTAAATAAATAGAATAGTTGTTTAGGGTTATAGATGGCCGTGAGTTAGTAATGGTTAGGAGATTATTAGGTATTTAATTAGTATAGGTAATTATCTTTCCTAGTTAGATTAGGATTCTAGGGTTTTATTCTCTTTAAATAGTCGTATTGTGCTAGGGTTTTGATTATGCTGAGAGAAATATTAAAGAATAGATCTTACGTTTCGTAGGAAATATTTATGATACACAAGAGATCGTATCAATTGGTATCAGAGCGAAGTTGCGATTAACACCAACGCTTCGTTAGCAAGGCAGAGATTATATCAAAGCTACGCTGGAGCAAAGTTGAGATTACATCAACACTTTGCGAAATTATGTCGTCCGAGAGAAAACGTTTAGAGCGATTGGAAAAATCCGTGGAGGAGATACGGATTGGTCTCCAAAAACTGCTCGAACAAAGTCAAGGACGGCGCCAACATAAGAGCCGAAGAGACCGCCACCGCCGACCAACAACACCACTACCGCCGCCGCCGAGCCTATCGCCGGAGGAAGAGGACGAGGATGATGATGACTTTTTCGAAGATCCACCGCCGCCGCCAATGCCAAGCCTACCGCAAAAGGATGAGGAAGAGGACGACGGTGATTTTTTCAAAGAACCCCAATTTTTTGTGAGTTCGCCGGAAGAAGAAGAATCAGATTCAACTGATATAAAGTGGGACGAGGAGACGAAAGAAGAAGAATCGAAGTTAACGGAGATAATTTGGGACGAAGATGAGGAATTAACCACAGATGAAAATGAAGAACTACAATGGATATTGGGAGATTTCCATGTTGTTGAAAGGAAAAAAGACGAACAAGAATTGGTGATTGTGAATGAACCGGAATCTGGAAAGGTAATTGAAGAGGCTTATTTATCGGGAAAAATATTGAGAATTTTTCCAAAAGCCTTGAGGAGTTCGTTCGATCAACCTAAACAATGTGGTAAAAATCTTGATCGTTCGTCATGTTTTTCGGATTCACTCGGGACACAATTCGATGTAGTCAAACACAGGTGGAAGCGCAAAAGAGAGAGCTGCAATTATTGGAACCTTGAGGACAAGGTTCATTTCAAGAGGGGTGGTTTGATACAATATATTATTATTTAATATATCGTTAATTATTAGTTAGTCATTATTTAATTATTAAATAAATAGAATAGTTGTTTAGGGTTATAGATGGCCGTGAGTTAGTAATGGTTAGGAGATTATTAGGTATTTAATTAGTATAGGTAATTATCTTTCCTAGTTAGATTAGGATTCTAGGGTTTTATTCTCTTTAAATAGTCGTATTGTGCTAGGGTTTTGATTATGCTGAGAGAAATATTAAAGAATAGATCTTACGTTTCGTAGGAAATATTTATGATACACAAGAGATCGTATCAGTAATTAAATGTTTTTCTTTTTTGTTTTTATTAATTACAGCCCGATCAATCTTTTCCAATAATCCAGGCTCCAATGATTGTGAAAGGGGGTGTTAATTTCATTACACTATCCAATTTGACATCAAATGTGACCAATCAACTGAAGGAAAACTCATGCTCTGAATTTGGTGCAAGTTTTGCTTCTAAGACCTCTTCCAAGTCATCATCTTCTTCCAAATCAACGTATGCCTCCAAGATAAACAAATGATCAAGATTTGATGTTTTAAGTTTGCAAGTCAACCTTTGTTTTATTGAATGTTGAGACATTGTACTTCTTTTTAATTTGGATATTTTGTTCTGTTTAGATGTGATGACATTTGTAATTTAGTTTGGATCTCATGAATGTTTGATGTTTGGATTTGACGTTAGTAGGTTTTTATTTGAATTTGATGCATATTTGATTTTTAATTTAGGAGAATTTGAGCTAGGCCCATGAAATGAAGTTTTATTACAAATCAACTCACCCTTTAACTTTCATTTCCAAATAAATCCACAAAAACATGAATTTTCAAAATAGCCCTATATATTTCTATTTGACATAGGCCCAACCCACCCCATTCCTTCCCACCCGCCCAGCATGCCGGTCCAGCCCGACCCGGTCCAGTCTGACCCGGTCAATTTTTTTTTTATATTTTATTTTTTTTTCTGAAAACAAATAATTTTTTTTTTCTGGCGGCGGGTCGTCGGAGCTCCGGTTAGCTGACTCAGCATTAGTTAACTTCAACATTAGTTGATATTTGAGATTCCATTCTTTTTTTATTCATTTTTTTCTGGTGGTGGGTCATTGGAGCTCTGGTTAGCTGACTCAATATTAGTTAACTTTAAATTAGTAGACATTTTTTTTTCCCGGCGGCGGGTCGTCGGATCTCCGGTTAATTAGCTCACTCAACATAAGTTAACTTCAACATTAGTTAACTTCAACATTAGTGACATTCAACATTTTTTTTCTTCCTACGATAGTTGATCGTCGAAGCTACGATTAGCTGACTTCAACACTAAAAATATCGGGTGTCAGCTAATGCTTAGTCATCAAATCGGAGCCCTAAATACCCGTCGCCGAAAAAAAAAAGTTACAATAAAAAAAAATGGTCGGATGTAGCTAATGCAAAGTCAACTAATGCATAGTTAGCTAATCAGAGTTTCGACGTCCGGTTGCCGGAAAAAAAAAAGTTAAAATAAAAAAAGCTGGACGTCAGCTAATGTTGCAGTCAACTAGTGCAAGTCAACTAATCAGAGTTCCGATAATCCGTCGTCGAAAATTTAAAAAAAAAAAGATAATAGAAAAAAAATGATATGTCAATTAATGTTGAAGTTAACTAATGTGGAGTCAGCTAACCGAAGCTCTGACAAACAGCCGCGGGAAAAAAATAAAAAAATAAAAGATGTCAACCGATGTTAAAGTTAACTAATGTTGAAGTTAACTAACGTTGAGTCAGCTAACCGGAGCTCCGACAACCCACCACCGTAAACAAATTAAAGGAAGAAAAAAAGATAAAAGGAAAAAAAAATGAAATGTCAGATGTCAACTAATGTTGAAGTTGACTAATGTTGAGTCAGCTAAGCAAAGCTCCGAAGATCCGCCGCCGTAAAAAAAATAATTGAAAAAAAAGAAAAAAAGAAAAAAAAAACCAACATATACATTGCACTTACCATATAACCAACATTACATAATTGAACAACATTAACATTGCACTTAATGGAAACCAACAGATAACCAAATTGACCATACCCAAATTCACCATCACACAAGACCTAATACAAACTGGAAATTCTACCTTAATTTATCAATTACATATAGAACCAAATTGACCATTACAAGCAAATTTCTTACTTTACCAAATAGCTAGATTATTTAGGCCTTTAAGTTGCATATATATTTTCAACTCTTTATTTACCAATTTGTATTTTCATAACAAATATGGCAATAAGGAGTACAATGGTTGCAAACACTACAACTTGCAAGTTCATTCTTCTATTGTTCATTGCAGTGAGCTTCTCTAGCTTCTTTATTTGTTTTTTAATTGACTTTCTTTCCTTATTCATCTCTGCTTCTTTCTCTTTGTAACTATCCACTTCTTCTCTTAGTTTGTTCATGTTTTGGAGCAATTCAGGGATAGTCATCTTGGATCGGTCAAATATTTCAGGATCCAACCACATGTACACACCACAATAGCCGGCTTTCTGTGAAACATGACAAATCATAAAGTTTTTGGACAAGTAAAATAAAGAAATCCAGAATACAATTAGCAACCAGAAAAAGTACTGAATTATACCCCATAGTTTGGGCAAGCGCGATATCTTCTCCCTGTATTGTCTGGTGTCCGTGATGTAATCACTGGCAACTGGAATCCACATCTACAAGTGACTGGTGGTGTTGAATGAGCTTCATAGGAACCTGGAGCAAGTGCACCAAAAAGAGGAGGTGGCGGTGGTGGTGGAGGTGGACAACGAGGAGGAATGGCTTGAGGAAGTGCACCAAAAGAAGGAGGCGGTGGTGGTGGAGATGGACCACAAGGAGAAGGGGCTTGAGGAATTGCACAACAAGAAGAAGGTGGCGGTGGTGGAGGTGGTGGAGCTCCACGAAAGGGAGGAGGTGGAGGGGCTGGAG